GGAGCTGCTCCAGCCCACTGTGCAGTGTTGTGAGCCTGTCCTAGTTGCTCTGGCCAGGCTGGGCACAGGTTAACCAGTTACCAGTAAATATCACCCAGTAAAGATGATGCTTAACTGTGTAACTAGTTACCTGTATACCTCCCTAGTTTGGGGTATACTGACAAATCTAGAATGCTTTTCCAAAATAAAATTCATAGCTAAGGCCTCCTCTTGAAACTTTGTCTCTTCTCATAATTCTTCAGAATCACATTACAATTTAACCAACCAAAACATGAAAAAAACTTATCAAGTAGGTAATGCTACAATTATTTGAAATCAATGCTTCTTTAAGCTTTTCCTTCAGGTAGGTTCATCCCAATATGGATTTCAAATAATAATCCACAAAAAGCTAGATGGGGTGAAAGTTTTTCATGAAACTAAGTAAAAAGTTTGAACTCCAATGAAGTGAAAAAGTTTGCAGTAAAAGAAGCCATATTTGTAAGCAAATGTGTTATTTCACAACAGAGGTGTCATTTTCAGGTCTAATTCTCAGAAACATGAAAAATTTAAAATAGGTATATTATGGCTTGAGGTATCTGTAACAGATTAAATTGCCTTATTAGTTTCACAATATGGTTTGCCCTTCTGATGTGGCTTCATTATATTACAGTATAAAATGTGAGATGATAGTTAAAATAGGTTTACTAGTTTTTCCTAAAAGTCACTTAGTGTCAGCTGCACACTATGTTGAACTTGGGTGAAATTTACTGACTATGATGCTCATTACCAGAATTAAATTTTGACCATGACTTGATTAAAGCTTATATTCTTAGTACGTTAGAACCAGGTAACACCACAATGGACTTTACAGGGAGCTGTCTGAAAAAACAAAAACCACCAAAACAAAACAAAAAACTATCATTTTTAGCTTGGTTTATGAGATTTTAGGATTCTCTTATCTGAACACAGTTCCCCAGTTGCCCGTAACTACCCTCCCATACCAAGGAAGAGAACATGTTTGACTCACACATCCACCTGAATGATAACTACAAATACACTGTCTCTTCTAGCTAGTATTCCACTCTATATTATTTTTGAGAAGATTAAGGTATTTTGTTGAAATAACTAAACAGGTCCTTTTTTAAAAACAAATGCAAAATTGTATCTTCTATTAAGCTCTTAAATTATTGGAGTGTTACAGTGAGGGATGTCTGCTTCTACTAAAGGTAAAGTAGACTTTACCTTTCTTTTCTTTTTTTAACGACTAAATATTTGTAAACTAAAAAAAACAAAAAAACAGTGGTAGCACTTTATAGACTAACAAAACATGTAGATGGCATCATGAGCTTTCATGTAGATTTATGTGCTTTGCAAAATGACGGGTCAAGTTTAGAATTCCTTCATACAACAGCAAGCCTGTATTTCAAAAGACTAAGTTCCACTACATTTATAGATGTTGCTTACAATCAAGATTTGTTTCCCAGATTCAGCTTCTGCTCCTCCTGTAGAACATGAAATCCAAAGTTGGTACTGAAAAACATCCTTGTCAACTCAGCCAAAAAACTGAAAATAGGCCAACTGTGTTCGGCTTTCATTATTTAAATTTTATTAGAGTCACTTCCTCGATATGCTCCATAAAGAAAAAGCTATTCTCAGAACTACATAGCCCCTTCTTTCCCTTTCAGAAAGAATAATTCTGTCTCCAGTCACTGTACATTATACAGTCAGGGTTCTTTTTTGGGGGGGCGTGTGGGGGTCGAGGTATTTATATCAAAGCTAGTATTGCATAAATAGCTTTTAGAAAGACAGCTTTTGCTATTGTTTTAGTGGCATTTAAGTTGCTATCGTGCTTCATTATATAAAAAAAATGAAGTAAACTAGTTTTTGGTTTTTTTGAGGAACAGACACATGATAGTGTGTGGCAATAAGCAAAGCAGCTGACTGAGGGGAGGACTATTGACACTGTTTTTAAACAGGTAAAATGTTTATAATAAATGTGAACAGCAGCCCACTCCTTCAATTAAACCAGAGCCATTTACCATTGGAATTCTAGTTCACTCCATGGATATTGAGCAAACATCAGCTATGTTTTGCTATTATGATACTCAAAACAAAGCCTGGTTAAGCAGTTTCTTAAAGTGGGGAATAAAACTACTAGCCTAACTTTTTTACCTTCCCCATTTAAGAATCTCAAAACATTTTATCAATAATAAATAAAGCATCTCAACATCCTTATGAGATGCATTAATCCAGTTATAACCAAGAGTATATAACCGACTTGCCCAAAGTTACAGCAAGTCAGCTGCAAAGAAAAGAACAGATATAGATCTGTACTTCAGCCACAGAACCATTCTTCTCATAATTTGCTCAGAAATGAGGATACTCAGCACAAAGGGACAAGCATTTACTCCCTTCTCTCCCAAAGATTTACTATATCCAAACATTTTCAAAGTGTCTATCCACCTGACGCTCAAGTACTGAGACCAAGAACTGAAGTTTTGTCCAGAAACTTTTTGGTTGAAGTCTACAGAAAGAGGAGGATGCTCTTCTGAGTCGCTGTTAGTAGAAACGGCAAATGTTCTGGGAACCGACACACCAGTAATTGGTTATGTAACCTCTGGCTCTGTAACCTTGGGGACCTTAATGCTGTGCAACTATAGTTCAGATCCCCGACATAGTCAGCCCATAAGCACAAGGTTTCACTGCCCGACTCTCAGCCTTCTCATTGCTTGTACTGTGACTCCAACAGCCCTTTCACTCCTACGTTTTCCAAAATATGTCCTCTGTGCTCTTAAGACACTAAAACCATTCCCCTTTAGTTCATTACCCTCAGAAGGTATGAAAACAGCCTCCCAATCAATGTTCCCACTAATCTTTTCCATCCATACGCAGAATAATTTTTACACACACCAAGGCATTTATGAACATGAACCACTAGTTAGGGATGTAACAGTATAGTTGATTAACCAATAAGCAAAAGCTTATAGGTTAATGCTATAGACCTCACGCATTTGCCCCCCATCCCCTGCCAGTCAATTTTTTAGCAGGCTGGCCAGAAACCCAGCTCAGTCCCAACTTGCACTGTGTCCTGGACCTACCCATGCTACGGCTCTGCATTTAAAGTTTATTAGAAGCAAGGCGGCCAGGCAGCCTGGCTCAGTTATAGCTTGTGTTCATTATCTAATCCACTTCACTGTTCACTGTCCTACTGCAAGGTATAGGTTACATAATGCGCACATATTTCTATATACACAAGTAGCTTCACAAACACAATCTGTACACATCTCATAATAGATATCAAGCTTTCCTAAGATATTACTGTATTATTGCACTATGAAAGTATATGAATTATGTGTTCAGTTGGTCCAAATGCTTGATTTGGGGGTTTAAACTAAAGATGTTAAAATGCGGTTAACTGACTAGTCGATGGAATTTCTGTCGACAAGTCAATAGCCACTTGTACATTTCAAAGGAGGAATGCGTAACTCCACATCCTGCTGGACCTGGGCTGCACGTGGGTGCCTGCTGCATGATGCTCGAAGCCCAGTAGGAACCCACTAGGAGCCCAGGGTCAGCGGAGGACTCCACAACTGACCCCGGGGCTCTGCGCAGGACTTCCCCCGAACTCACCTCGGGTTCTGGGGAAGTACTGCACAGAGCCCAGGATCAGCTGAGAAGTCCCCAGCTGACCCCGGCCCCTACAGCCCCTTTAAACACCACCTCCATGCATTTCAAAGGGACAGTGGAGCCCAGGGTCAGCTGGGGACTCATCAACTGATCCCAGGCTCCACACAGCATTTCCCCAGAACCCGGGATCAGCTGGGGAAATGCTGTAGGGAGCCTGGGATCATCTGGGGAGCCCCCAGATGACCCCAGGCTCCACAGCAGCTGCCCCTTTGAAATGCCACCTTGGAGGTTCAAAGTGGCAGTGCCCACACAGCTGTGCAGCTCTGCCACTTTGAAGTACCCTTTACCCCCCCTTTGCTGCCTCTAATAGAGGCATCAAGGACAGGGGGGAAATCAAATAGTGGACTAGTCAAAAAACTATCTGGTAAGCAAATGCTTATCAGATAGTCGACTAGTCTTTAACATCCTCAGTTTAAACCTGTCAAAGTTGTAGATAGTATGGAATGATTAATTTGGGGTGGGAGAGAAATCTGGTCTGCAATTCATGAAAGTGCAGAAGGGAATCTTGTTTCAAACTCTGCTGCATGAGGGTAAATTCAATTATTAATGTTTGTGAAGTTATGTAACCGCTTTGCAGCTGTCTTTGACAGCAACATCCAAGACAGGAAATAATGGCAGCCCAACATTCCTGACATGGGCTTTTAGCTTCAAATAGGGTGTAAAATCCTGCTTAATTGGTATAACCAGTTAAATATTATATGTAACTAATTAGCCAACCCAGAGCTGGAGCAGCCCCTGCTGGTTAACCGTAAACAGTAAGCATCAGCCAGTAAGGGTGATGCTTATGGTTACCCATTCACGTCCCTCACTTCAAGCAAGGCAGATTACACCACTGTTTTCAGAGTGTCACTCCATGATAGCTTCTCATTCAACTGGGTTGCAAAAGAATCACCTCAAGTTTTCCCTACCTCAATAAGATATGATTCTGCCACTCTTCACAGGAGGGCACCCAGAAGGCCCAAACTTGGATCAATTAATCTCATCTTCATTATTCACTTTTCCTGCC